GAGAACTGAGCATGCAAGGGAATGCCCAATGGGCAGTGAAACTGAATGTGATAACAAAGGCATAAAGTAAAATATTGGGGGAAACCACTAAGACAAAGTTATCAGGTAGTATTTGGAAACCAGTCTCCCTCTGTTTTAATAGCTCTGGACACCAAGTTGAAATTGACGTCACTGCCATACAATTTTGCTTCCAGAATCAAATCACTTATCAATCCTTGGGAAAATTGCCCCCTTAATAGTTTTGGCATTCTCAGCCCTGCAATGCTTTAACACAATTTTTAAAAAATTTCCCCATCCTTACCCACTTTTTTTTTAATGTTTCACTTCATAAAAGCCATTTTTGTACATATTTTATCTTGTTCTGTTTTTCTGGTTCTGCATTTACCTTGTCATTTTCTTAGTCTGTTGTTTTGTCCATTGATAAAGACTTTCCAAAGGGTTTAGTTGTTTTTGCGCACATATTTTCCTTCCCATTTGTTGAGCTTTCTAGTCTTAATTTTTTCTATGTTGAGTTATTTACAAATAATTGGGCATGTTACAAGCAGACAAATATTAAACATTTGTAGTAACTAGTAAACTTAATATTTATTGAGGTAAGGGATGGCAAATAACTTTATTATATTGCCTTATGACACAATCATGATTAAAAACAAAACCTGTTCAGAAACTCTGATAATGAAGTCAGATGGGGAATCATAATCACCTTTACATTATGGCATTGAAAATGATGATATTGATGTCTGACTCACCATATTCTGCACCATCTCTATGAAACCTTTGAAAGCAGGTAGCTGAGATGCTCTGACAACTTCTGCCCATGATTTGTCTGACAACCATGATGAGGCAGGATTTGCAAATGGATTCTCCAGAGCGACACCCCCGGTCAGCAAGAATCTCCACTCCTGATCATCAAACTCTTCCCTGGATATTATTTATACATGGATTATGCAAGATCTGAGATGGAAAGTAGCTGTACAAAAAATAGCTGTTCAAAATTGCTTGACGCCCCCACCCCCCTACCGACACACCAGGTTGGAGATGACTGATCTATACAAATATTGGACTGGTACCATACACCCAGTAAGCATTATGGCACTGAACAGTTAGCATCCTTTGGACATTTTCTCAAGGTCATGCCGATGTGTTGGTAAATGAGCAGGCAGAGAGACTGGCCAGCTCTGCACCACTTGGTGGTAAACTGATGTATGATAAGATAGATATTGTGAAGGCCCAATGGAAATGAGTGAACAGGGTGGAGGTGCATATAGATAATTACAGTCTGAGGAGAATGTCGCTGCAAGGAGTTACCAGGGGATCTGGGTGATGCTCAACACTCAGAAGAAGGATGAGACGGATATACAATCTGACTGTTACAGGTGCCATCGGAACTGGAACTATTCGCTTGGTGCTGAAGATGGGAAACAGTACTTATGGGAGTGTCCCGAGTGCTGTAATGTCAATTCTTAATTCAGCATTCATCATTCCAGACATTAGGTCCCATTACACTATAGGGAGAAATGGAAAGTACAGCTCATGGCGATGGTGAGTGTGACCAACAAGACTATCTCACACTAAAAAGAATCTTACACAATAAGTGTATAACATGTATTTCATTGTTGCTTTCACAGATATCTGATGTGTTTCCCCTCCCTCTCAGATGTGTAGCTCCTAACCTGTCTGCTTAGTTGGCTAAACCTGTCGGCTTCCCTACATGACTGGGTGATGAAATCCTTGTGGCCTGGGTTCACACCCGGGGGTAGGCAGAAAAGCCAAATTTTTCCCCAGATTTTACAGTAATTATCATGGAATCAAGCCTGAAGGGTTGCGATATATCTAATGTACCGAGACTAAAGGGTTAGGAACTCATGGTTTCTGGATATTAAAAAAAAAAAAACACACACACACCTGTCTGCAACCCTTTTCTCATTTCTCCTTCTTTCCTTCTTCAAGTCCCCCCTCCATACAATGTGATCAGTAGCATCATGTTCCAGTGTATCCATTTTGTTTATTGTTCATCCATTATAAGTGATGAGGGAGTTTATCCACCATAAGTGATGAGGGAGTTTATCCATCATAAGTGATAAGGGAGTTTATCCATCATAAGTGATGAGGGAGTTTATCCATCATAAGTGATGAGGGAGTTTATCCATCATAAGTGATGAGGGAGTTTATCCATCATAAGTGATGAGGGAGTTTATCCATCATAAGTAATGAGGGAGTTTATCCATCATAAGTGATGAGGGAGTTTATCCCTCATAAATGATGAGGGAGTTTATCAATCATAAGTAATGAGGGAGTTTATCCCTCATAAATGATGAGGGAGTTCATCCATCATAAGTAATGAGGGAGTTCATCCATCATAAGTAATGAGGGAGTTTATCCATCATAAGTGATGAGGGAGTTCATCCATCATAAGTGATGAGGGAGTTCATCCATCATAAGTAATGAGGGAGTTTATCCATCATAAGTGATAGGGAGTTTATCCATTATAAGTGATGAGGGAGTTCATCCATCATAAGTGATGAGGGAGTTCATCCATTATAAGTGATAAGGGAGTTCATCCACCATAAGTGATGAGGGAGTTCATCCATCATAAGTGATGAGGGAGTTCATCCATCATAAGTGATGAGGGAGTTCATCAACCATAAGTGATGAGGGAGTTCATCCATTATAAGTGATAAGGGAGTTCATCAACCATAAGTGATGAGGGAGTTCATCCATCATAAGTGATGAGGGAGTTTATCCATTATAAGTGATGAGGGAGTTCATCCATTATAAGTGATGAGGGAGTTCATCCATCATAAGTGATGAGGGAGTTCATCCATCATAAGTGATAAGGGAGTTCATCCACCATAAGTGATAAGGGAGTTCATCCACCATAAGTGATGAGGGAGTTCATCCATTATAAGTGATGAGGGAGTTCATCCATCATAAGTGATAAGGGAGTTCATCCATTATAAGTGATAAGGGAGTTCATCAACCATAAGTGATGAGGGAGTTCATCCATCATAAGTGATGAGGGAGTTCATCCATTATAAGTGATGAGGGAGTTCATCCATTATAAGTGATGAGGGAGTTCATCCATCATAAGTGATGAGGGAGTTCATCCATTATAAGTGATAAGGGAGTTCATCCACCATAAGTGATGAGGGAGTTCATCCATCATAAGTGATGAGGGAGTTCATCCATCATAAGTGATGAGGGAGTTCATCCATTATAAGTGATGAGGGAGTTCATCCATCATAAGTGATGAGGGAGTTCATCCATTATAAGTGATGAGGGAGTTCATCCATCATAAGTGATGAGGGAGTTCATCCATCATAAGTGATGAGGGAGTTCATCCATTATAAGTGATGAGGGAGTTCATCCATCATAAGTGATGAGGGAGTTCATCCATTATAAGTGATAAGGGAGTTCATCCACCATAAGTGATGAGGGAGTTCATCCATCATAAGTGATGAGGGAGTTCATCCATCATAAGTGATGAGGGAGTTCATCCATTATAAGTGATGAGGGAGTTCATCCATTTTAAGTGATGAGGGAGTTCATCCATTATAAGTGATGAGGGAGTTCATCCATCATAAGTAATCAGGTAGTTCATCCATCATAAGTGATGAGGGAGTTCATCCATCATAAGTGATGAGGGAGTTCATCCATCATAAGTGATGAGGGAGTTCATCCATCATAAGTGATGAGGGAGTTCATCCATCATAAGTGATGAGGGAGTTCATCCATCATAAGTGATGAGGGAGTTCATCCATCATAAGTGATGAGGGAGTTCATCCATCATAAGTGATGAGCGAGTTCATCCATCATAAGTGATGAGGAACACTCTTACTTTCATCCATCATGAAACTATAGTTGATTGTCTGTGATTGATTGATTGAATTGAATTTAAAAAAACAAAAGTTCCAGTCTCCCTAACCAGCTCCTAAAGTGACTGCCAATTATGTTGGGACTGCGTTTTCTTGTTTGGGATTTACAATAGTTTTTTTTTTCCATTGTGGTGTATCCATACGCCTGTATTTCTGACACCTGTGTCTGTGCTGCCTTATGCCGTTTCCTTGCTGTCTATTTGGTTGTCTAGCCTGCCGTCGTTGAGTGAGCCAAGGCATCCACCGGTGACACCATCTCGAAACAACCGAGCTTGCCACCTCGCACCTTTGTCTGTGAGTCTGGAGTTGACTTATATGCTGAGCTCAGGCCCAGAAGGATCAAGGTCAATGAGGGCAGGCAACAGTGTCTGTAGGTAAAGGGCCTGTTATACAGGTCTTTCTAGCCTGTGTGCATTGTTCAGCTGCCCTTTTCCTGATGCCTCACAAATCACTGCATCTTTTCAGAAAGGTATGTCCTATATCGGAGTATTTGACAAGAGAGCAATTCTGGAGACACAAAATGAATTAACCCTGATGGAAGATATGATGTTAGATGAAATAACGGGTGTAAGGTTAAGTGAATATGGAATTATGTGTGGACCATTCAAGAATGGATGTATAAGGGTACGGCACATTACAACCAGTGTGCTACTGGAACAGTCAGCATCTACATCTCAAGACATTCACTATAGGAAAGAGAATATCTATAGGTATGTTCATCAAACTATGATTCTTCTTCTTCTTCTTCAGCATTCCGAGCCCTTGAGGTTCATTGCTGCAGATACCACTCGCCTCCATTCATCTCTCTGGTTGGCCTTCTCTCTCCAGTTGGTGACACCAAGTGTTTGCTGGTCTGTGTGGACATTATCTCTCCATGATCTTCTTGGTCTGCCTCATGGTCTACGATCATTCATCTCCCTTGTGTATACAGTTTTTACTTCCCTGTCATCTGACACAACAATAGCATACTATATTGTCAAATTTCAAACTTCAGATAATATGTCGCATGAACAGCTTACCTGCCTTTAGCCAAACCAATGCACAGAAGGAAAGAAAACAAGAGCTTGTCTTTCTCAAACAGAGATCTGCACACATTCTTGTAGATGCTGTAAGTGAAATGGTTGTTCAGTTCTCAATTCTCTGATCAAGTTCATTTGCCAGAGCACTATGGGAAATGGACTGGAAAACAATACGCACAACAATTATTTATTATCACTCTCACAAACAGTCATAACAATTAGAATGTAATTAAAAAGTTATGTTACTAAATGGTAATTATATAATTAAATAGGAAAATAAATCAGTCAGTCATACAAATGATCAATCAATACAAGGTCTCTTTATGTCTCTGTCTTACTCACTATGTCTTAGGCCTAGGTTTGTAATGTTTCCTCCACGGGTTTTAGGGTACTTCAGTTGAGCTTAGCTGCGTTTAATTAAGAACTGACATCACTGCACTTGAGATACTCCCATAAGTGATCTGTCTTCAAGTTCAACAACCATCGTACTGTTCAAATACTGATGGCACCAGTACCAAACCGACCATTTGTCTGTTTTTCTGTTTTCTGAGTGTTGGCCAGTTTCCATGATTCTTTCAAGATACTGATGACCTATTTCTGCATCCCTACTGTTCACTCACTCCAAAAGGGTCTTCACTACATTTAGCTCATCATGCATCTGTTTATACCAAATGGTGCAGAGCCAGCTAATCTGACTACCTGTTTTTTTCCCAACACACATACTTACCCTGGAATAAATATTCAGAGGATGGTAACCACCTGGGACCTCAGGAGTAGTAAGTGCCTCCACCTCCATTCTCATGACCAGAGCTATTCAATGCATGCTCTGCGATTAATCCCATCTTTAGTGAACATCACTGTCAAAAGCTTCCATGCAATGCACAGTGTTAAGAAAAAAAACAACCTCACACAATATTACAGGACACAATGTAAAAAATCGAAACATAAGCACCACACCTGCAGGTAAAGGTTGATAAACCAAGCCAAAGAGTATTGGTACATAGGATCTATGCTGGCTAAATCAGAAATTGTGAAGAACAACATGCTGCCATGTTTTGCAACCTGCAGATTCAGTGGAAAGTAAAAAAAAGTGTGTTTGTCATTTGTATTTATATATACACCTTAAAACTAAATTGAATGTAATGTTTAAACAACAGCAAATATATTTCTAGTAGCTGGCCATTGATCTGTGGGATCAAAGTCATGGGTTCATTCTGCACTGAGTCCAATTTTATTTTTAAAACAAAAAAGATCTTTTCTCAACCCAGCCTAAAAGTGCTATCAGGTAAAGTCCTGAGAAGTAAGAGCAGCTGGCATATTGCTGCCAATATAACTCACAGAATGCAAATTGCTCTATAAAATATACGTCTAGAACAAAATACCAAAAACATCGAGGGCACATAAAAGGGTTCTGAAAATTTTTTTGAATTTTTATTTTTACATATATTTATTCCAGATGTTCTCTTTTTCATGCATTTTGTGAAGAGTAAATCCCAGATCAACCCAGCCAAAACTGGGTACATAAAATGTTCTAGAAAGAAAAAGCAGCCAGCCTAATGCTGACCACATCAGCCATCAAGTGCCACTTGGTTTATAAAAATAGCAGTCTTGCAACAGATAGCTGATGTGCCACTGGCGTAAAATGGTATTTTACAGTTGTGTGTGTTTTTTTTAAACATTTAAAAACAATTGGTATCTTTCTGGTAAAACATTCAACTGATCATTAATGAGAATGTTATGTGAATTTAGTTATCTATATAATATGAACATATGTGATACGACAACCTACTGGTTTGTATCCATTTCGGGTCACATCAATCTCTTCCTCAGTGCTTGTAGCAATCTTCTGTTTCTTGGAAATCTCTTTAGACAGAACTTTGCTGGAGGAGAGAATCTCTATCGCTCTTTCATCTTCCAGTATGTTGCCCTGCAAACAGAAACAGTAAAATAAGAGAAACACATAGCAAAATAGTTGTCCATAGGTAGACAGTAACAGTAATGTTGTATTTAGTTTTATAACATAGAACACAGGTGCCATATTATGTCAAGGGATTCAGCCATCATTCTTTCAGTCTCAAGAAAAACATAAGGTGTCAACAACTTGTTTTCTCAAATTTTAACAGTTACACTGACTGAAGCATGAATTAGAATACATTTCTCAGGGCCTAAAAAACCCAGTATGTATTGGGTGACTCATTCAGTGACCCCATGAATGAGATATGAACAGATGTGTGGTGAGTTGCTTAGATCTGATTTAAGTTTCTGAACACTTCCCTCATTTATTCCACATTTGTGTCCTTAAATTTGTGGCAACCAGGGTAGCACAGTGGCTAACACATTTGCCAGTTGGCCCAATGGTCATATTTCCATTGAGGCAGTGATTTGTTTACAATCAGCTTGATTGCCCCAGCCTAAAACAGGTACCAGGAGATATAGTTAAAATAAAGACTGGCATGTTATTTACAACATCACCAAATGAAAGCCTCCCCCTCCCCCCAATCTTTTCTTTCTCAGGAGTGTCCAGAGCGCTGTGAAGTCAATTCTTAATTTAACATTCAACATTTCTTCTCCCAATTACTCATCAAAATGTGTGTGTATGTGTGGAAAAGGAAAAAGGGGGAGGGGGAGTGGGGGGGGGGGGGGGGGTGATCTACAATAATAACACTGATGTATTGGGGGTTTGGTGACATATAGGATAACACACACAATGTTGATATAAATTTACCTCTGATGAAGAAAGGACTTCCAGAATTTTATCCTCAATATCCTTGAGCTGTCGTTTGTTTTGTGCACTTTCTAGAATTAACTTATTCTTCTTGTTTTCCAGGTCTGGCTTTTCTTTGGCAGCCACCAAACTCAGCAGCTGGTCCTCCAGCCCCAGGGGTGTGATCATGAAGTTCAGAAGTGTCACCTGAAATATAGCAGATTGTTGAAAAACTTGCACAGCTGAACTAAAAACAAGAAACTCAAAACACACACTATCCGTATGTTTAAATCAAATACAGAGGCTTTGAAAAGATTTGGAAAAAAAGAGTTGCTGAAAGAACTAAAAATAAGGATAAGTGAAATATTTCAGCCACTTTAAAAGTAACATATAATGTTCTTATCTTCTTCTTCATGTTCACCAGCTGTAAATTCCAGTAGAAAGTTCCAGTTGTTCGTCCACTTCTGGACTTGGATTTTGTATGCACATCCATTTTACAGGTCTGGCTTGTTTGTATGCACATCCACTTTACAGGTCTGGCTTGTTTGTATGCACACCCATTTTACAGGTCTGGCTTGTTTGTATGCACAATGTTGGTTCCTTGCCAATCAGGCATAGGCACTCCAACTTCAGAGGAAAAATCCCTAATCAGTGTCTTTCCCCCCAAAAGAGGACTTTGGAACCCACACAAGGATAATATTCTTATTACCACCATACTGGAAGGAAAAGTTAAAAGCAAGTGAATAAGAGGTAGACAGTAATATAAGTGGAAGAATAAAATCCAGAAATGGACAAACAGCAACCTTAGAGACAAACAAGGTGAGAGACATAGCATACCATCCCAATGTAGCCAAAATTCATTCTGGAGACAGCACCCAACTGAGTTCTGATAAACTAACTGACATATACAGTGTATTCAAATGATATCAGTTATAAGCAGTAATGATAATGACACTGTTTCAGTTTGCATACGCACATTTTATAAACTTGTTGGTTAGGTTTTGATGAGGAGCACTTCAACTGCATAATTCTATAAGTGCATCTGTCTCTCCCCATAGATCACACAAGAGGAAACAGCACAGTGCAATAGTTCTGTAGCACAAATGCTAGATAACTTATTTCAGAGGTGAGTGTTCTCAATTTTAAAATTTACTTTGTATGATGACCTATATTCTTCTTTTTCTTCATTTCTCTACTTCTGGAATGCCTCGCGGCTTCAAGGGGAGGAAGAGATCTCTAGAACGGGCCCTATTCATTCTGCCCAATTCCATTTCTAAATACTAGAAATGTTTAGCAAATGCAGCATGGATTCAATTTTTTTAAATCTTGTTTTAAGAAGGCTTGATGCATGATTTACTACCATATGAATTTTTTTTTGTGGGGTGGGGGGGGGGGGGGATGGGGGGAAAGAGATGGAGTTAGGGAACTGTTATCTCCTTTTAGTTTCTAAGGGTTTTTAGGTATCTCAGTGTCAACAGATACCAGTCATGTCCTGTCAACAGATACCAGTCATGTCCTGTCAACAGATACCAGTCATGTCCAGAGGAAACATAAGTAGATACACATGTACATTTTACCTTTACTGAAACTTCAGGCAGATAGTGTGGGTTTCTCAAGCAGGTGGTGATGTAGAACTTGAAGTCTCTACTGTACTGAATCACTGACTCACAAGTCGTATGTACTCAATGTTATCCTTGAAAGAACAATGCACTTTAATTAAATGCATAAATGTACAAGAAGAATACAACATTAAGAACAGACATTACCTACTTTCTATAAAATTTCCATTCTTTTAAATATTCTGCTCTCTGAACATATTAACTTTAACTGTATCCATCTTCATCTAATTAAAAGGAGGATGGCTATAACAATGCAAAGATAAAACAGTCTAAACCGTCTATGGTTGAGAAACAGCAAGGGGATTAAAATTAGAATTTTGAAAGCATGCATTTTCTCTGTGGCTACATACGGATGTGAGTCGTGGACTATCTCTCAGTCCTTAAGAAAGAGAATAGGGGCTTTTGAGCGGAAATGCTATAGAAAGATTCTCAGAACATCTTGAACAAAGAAGATGAGAAATACTGACATCTTGAAAGATCTGAACATCAAGGAAGATTGGCTAATAAATAGCAAAGCAAGGTTTCCCCGATTTGAATTTGAACAAAGAAGACACAAACAATAGACTGCACAATTTATTGCCTGGCATATTTCGCTGTATCTCGTCAGGTACATACTACAGTAACAATTAATTAAAATGAAGCAAATAGCTGAATCCTAGAAACTGAAACACAAATTCGAGTTTGAAATGTACTCGAATTTGTGTTTCAGTTTCTAGGATTCTGCTATTTGCTTCATTTTAATTAATTGTTACTGTAGTATGTACCTGACGAGATACAGCGAAATATGCCAGGCAATAAATTGTGCAGTCTTTTGTTTGTGCCTTCTTTGTTCTAATAAATAGCATCCTGTCTTAGAAGCTGAAATATTTTGGTCACATCAAGCACCCTAACGGATTTGAAAAATTATAGCAGAAGGCATGGTACCAGGAAGGAGGGGCAGGGACCGACCAACACGAAGATGGGCACAGGATATAAGTGACTCCTTGAGTATGAAAGTACATGATACGGTAGAGCTGGCGAAAGACCAAGTTTTTTTCAGGCAGACTGTGATGATAGTGACGTTCTGCACAGGACCTCCTACATGATGATGTATCCATCTCAGCTGTAGACACAAAATTAAGCTAAATAAATAGAATGTTTTGAAATCTAGGAGAAACTGGCACATTTAACTCTCTATATTACAGGCAAATGTTAATTCAAATTAAAAGAATTAAAAATTAAACATACCAACTTATATACAAGGTTCATAGTAACTGAAGCAAACAGAATTCAACAATAACTGCACTGATTAACTCTTTCAGTCCTGGCGGTTTAGCATCAGAGACCCAATGGCTGCTAAAGAGGAATGTATAATCAGCGCATCTTGCATTCATTAGGTCTTTAGGTAGGAACATATGAACATGCATCTATTGGGAATGAAAGAGTTAATACCCTATACTGTGTACCTTGGGAGCAAGTCAATGATACAATACAGATAATGACTTCAATCAATGGATCAGCTTGAGATGAGCCCAATGACCTTGTAATGATCTATCTGCGCCTCCACACTGTTCACTCGTCCCAAAGGGCACTCACAATATCTGACTTGTCATACATCAGTTCACCACCAAGTGGTGCAGAGCTGGCCAGTCTCTCTGTCTGCTCATTTCCCAACACACTGGCTGACCTGGAGAAAATATCCAAAGAATGCTAACTACCCGGAATGTCTGAAGTGATGCTTGCCACTCTTGATGAAAACAATGCACTTTTCACCTTTCTAACATGCTCTGTGACCAGTTATGTCCAGAGGGGGACACAATGAATTAGTAAAGAAACATGTAAATTATTTAACATAACATAACATTTCTCTATTTAAGATCTGTAACCTACTCACAAGGTTTACAACAAATTTTGTGGTGATTTCTGCTTAAATTTCTACTGGCCTAAAATATAGCAGCATTTAGTAATGTACTCCTAAGCAGTGGAGAAAAAACACAGTTGGTATATTTATCTGCAAATCAAATAAAAGCAGTTATGAAATGTTTTACAGAAAATCCCATAATCTTACTCAGGACTAGAACATGAGGAACATTTATTTTAGATTTTTACCTTTGAATAAAATCATTCTTCTGTATAAATCTCAGTCATAGGGTTTCAAGTTAACCTGCACTAAATATGGAAGCCTAACAAGCATGTCATAGTTGGCACAGTCTTTCCTCTTGTGTCGAGTGCGGGCAAGGGCAGAGGTCATGACTCTCCAGAATTAAAAATTAAACAAACCAACTTATAATTAAAGTTCATAGTAACTGAAGCAAATGGAATTCAACAATGCCATGTTGATTAACTCTTTTAGTCCTGGAGTTTTAGCATCAGAGGCCCAATGGCTGCAAAAGAGGAATGTATAATCAGCACATCTTGCGTTAATTAGACCTCTAGGTAGGAAAATATAAATATGCATTCACTGGGAATGAAAGAGTTGATTTTTAGAGGACACAATGAATTAGTAAAGAAAACATGTAAACTATGTAACATACCATTCCTCTATCTAAGATCTGTAACTCACACACAAGGTTAAAAAAAAAAAGTTGTGATTTCTCCTTAAACTTCCACTGGCCTAAAACATAGCAGCATTTAGTAATGTATTCCTAAGCAGTGAAGAGAAAACAAATTGGCATGTTTAACTGCAATGCAAATAAAAGCAGATATGAAATGTTTTACAGAAAATCCCATAATCTTCCTCAGGACTAGAACATGAGGAACATTTAGTTTAGATTTGTACCTTGTAATAAACTATTCTTCAAAGATAAACGAAGCAATGATAGGGTTTCAGAGTTAACCTGCACTAATGTTGGGCATGGAAGCCTAACAAGCATGTCAAAATGGGTGACTAATTAGGGATTTACTGAAATTGAATGTTTATAGCTTAAAGGCTTAAATGTCACAGCCAAGCAGTAAACAACAACACATTGTGCAAATCACTTTTTTATAAGACCAAATTAAAATAAAAAAGATACAATGCTAACCACATTACCTGTTTGAATATTTGTTTCATTAAAATTGGTTCCAAAATTGGATCTAGTTCTTCCCCAATGTTTTCCAGTAGACATGGGTTACCAAACTGAAATCAAATCATTTGAAAGCATACTATGTTGTAAACTCGGCTAAACTTGTTTCAGAATAAAAAAAAACAGAATGATTCTAATGTCAATGTAATGTCAAAAGAAATACAAATTTTCAAGGTGACAGGACTCACTTTATTGCACCATAACTTTAACACAGATGGTCGTCACCATTTACAGAAGAGCTGGATGCCTGTCAAGAGCAATGCACAAAGCACGGACTATATAACTCCAATGGGATCCCTAGGTATCTCCAAGAAATTGCATCCACAAAACCAAATGAGCCAGTAAGAAAATAAATACATGAAATACATTAAGGTAAACAGCTTTACCATGTCAGAGGAGACACTTTTAATTTCAAGAAATCTCATTTAATTTTCACAAAAGCGTTTAATAATTCGCCATAAAATGGTCAATAATCTAATAATGAACTCCAAGAGAAATCCAAGAAAGAGACAAAGTCAACATTTTGATTTCAACAAATATTTGTATCAAACATTACAATACCATGTAGAGACACTGACAAATTCATCGCCAAGCAGTGTCCCTGATATCCCATGTCAACCGTCGGACTGGTCAACAATTTCTTCTTCTTCCTGAAAGTAATACTATTCTACTATTCTCACAATACAGTTGGGTTGGGTACACATTAGAGTTGGGTTGGGTACACATTGAAGTTGGGTAATATACATTTATTTTTTTCAATTTTAACCTGGAGAACCACTAAAGGCATGAACAATTAACAAAAGTTAAATGCATTTGAAAAAAATGCCTAAGGAAAATGTTGAAGATAAAATGAGATGCATTCAAGAGAGGTGAAGACACAAGAAAAATGTCTGGGCAACGACTGGAATCAATTGGTAAAAGACAGATAAGATGCACTATACTGGGCACATCCTGAGAAGAAACAAGCAGAGAATCACCAAACAGAAACCAAAATGGGAAACCATTTTGGAAGCCAGGACATCCAAAAAAACCCTGGAAAAAAATCCACATTTATGAGAGAGGCCAAAGGTGCTGGACCAGATTCCATCCATGTTATTGAAGTGATTGCATAGGATAAAATGGAATGTAGGAAAAGACTGGGAGCCCTATGGGACATATGATAGCACAACAAGACAGTAAGTGAATATAAACTTATATAGAGAGTTTTCAAGATGCAACAAGTAAAGTACTTTGATCAAATAAAATAGTTCTTACCTGTATACAGTTCTCCAATGATCGTACAAAGTTGGGAGTAGTGAACCTAATGACTTCCAATTTGTTTGATTTCTCCAGATTTTTGATCCACTTGCTGGCCTGCCCCTGAGGGTCAATCATCAGTGGCCAGCGATTGGAACATGTCACAATGATAGCATTGTCTACAGAGTAGCTGTGAACACACAGAATATTCCAGTATAACATAAAAAAGCCCTTGACCCATTATGGTTGTGGAGGTGTATTGATGGAAGCACTAGCACATAAAACCTGCCATCTTTCTCTGTCTTCTGATTGATGATTAGGTGTATGATAACTTAGTCCTGCCCATTTCTTGATGTTGTCATTCCAGGTTCTTCTTTGCCCTCCTCTTCTTCGACTACCCCCCAATGTTCCTTGAAGTACAGTCTTTGCAATCGAATTATGTCTCACCACATGCCCAAACCATGCTAGCTTGCGACTTTTCACCACTGCCAGAAGAGGCTCCTGATGTCCTGCAAATTTGTATAATTTGTCTCTGACATATTTATTAGTTTTGTGTTCTAAATAACTAATTCGTAAAATCCATCTGTAGCATTTACATTCGAAAGCCTGAATCCTCCTTTTCATTTCCACAGTAAGAGTCCAACTCTCACACCCATAAAAGATTTACAGTTACTCTAAAAGGATGGGTAATATGAATGCCAGAAATTAAAAACACCAATTAATTAAGAAGTGAACTTCTGAAATTATTACATGGAAGAAATATTAAATGGATATACATGTGTGGCCCCTTAGAATGTTCAGAAAAGTTAAGTTTTGTGTGACCTTTTCTGACAGTGAGATATACAATGGCACGGAGAAGATAAGGAACATCTAGCACAGAGGATCGTTGCAGCAATTGCAACTGTAACTCTGGACATAATTCAGAAGATGCAGCAGGAAAGTGATTACAGTCTACACATCACCAGAGCTACAAATAGTGTCCATATCAATTGTTCTCAGCCTGTGGGCCATGACCCCTTTGGGGGTCAAATGGCCCTTTCACTTGGGTCAACTAAGACCATCGGTAAACATATATTCACTGAAGTTATGAAGTAGCAACAAAAATAATTTTAAGGTTGGGGTAACCACAACATGAGAAAATGTATTAAAGGGTCATGGCATTAGGAATATTGAAAAAAACTGATCCATATAGAAATTTACTCAGGTAAGTCTAAAACTTTAAATTTTCAGAAAATTTTAAGATGCCACAATTGCACATTAATTACATCATTCTTTCACAATTACAGTTTAATCCCAGCAACCATTTTCAATGGCCCTGTATAATAGTAAAATAATCTACAGTAACATCGGGAGAGCCAGTGTCTAACTGCTAGACACTTGCCTGCTGGCTCAGAAGTCTGGTTTTAAACAGCACTGAGATGCTCATAATTTATCTTGGCTCCAGGGTTGACGAAGACTAAAATGGGTAGCAAGAAATGTCCTGGAAAGTAAAGGCTGTTGCATGATATTCAGCATATCACCATTTACATACTGATCGCTCTATACAAAAAAATGTAGGTCTAGCACTATATGCTCCTTGGGAAAAGTGTCCTTACAGTAACATCACAGAGGTAAATCACAGAAATTGTTCTGATGACTACATACAAGTACACACAGATAAGAGCATTCCTGACTTCCAGTGTGCTGACCTCAATCTGTCGACTAACTAACTAACTAACTAACTAACTAACTAACTAACTAACTAACTAACTAACTAAATAACTAACTAACTAACTAACTAACTAACTAACTAACTAACTAACTAACTAACTAACTAACTAACTAACTAACTAACTAACTAACTAACTAACTAACTAACTAACTAACTAACTAACTAACTAACAGTAACATCATACATTCTACAGTCCCAGTTGTCTTCACTCACTTATCAGCTGGCAATCCTGCAATCTGCCAGTCTCTTATCTTTACTGGGTCACCCAGAGTTGCAGACAGAGAGTAAGCTTCTGACACTGAAATTCCCTGATTCTGACACAGATGGAACCATTCTTGGATACACTCCTACAGAAACAGAGATCCAGACGGTCACAAATAAAAATAAACATGTTTTAAGTTTGATCAACATCATGAAGCAGCCATTACAGAACATCACTCTCATCACAGCCTGCCCAAAATAAACTGGGTCCTCCGCCAGCTTTCCCACCTGACGCACTTTTCTGCCCAAGGTATCTTGATAGCCATGTGCACCTCTCTATGCCCATTGGCCCCTTATTCAGTACCATTCCATATGCTATTGTTCTTTCTTTCCAATCCACTGTGACATTTGAAACAGCAAAAGTATTTAAATTTTCAAGACAAAATGCTGTTTATAAGCCAATTCTCCTTGACATTGAGATATTTTATGATGTCAAGTATTTAGTTTCTTCTCTGTACATCAAGTTTACAGATTTAAAAAAAAAAGAGAAAAATAGGGAATCCTGCAGGTGTTTCAACCAAGAAAGAACGAACCTCATTCTTCTATGGGACGTCACTATCCTGACTCTGGTTGATAGGGATTGTGCCTTCCTTGTTATTTATCATACACTGAATAGGCATTTATTGAAACTGGTGGAAGTTGTGCCAATTAAAAAGAATAATTCTGCTTTGTGCAAACAAAAAGAGTGTCCTAAATTATAAGCTTCCACGGTAAACATATGGCTGATCATGAATTTCTGGTATTGAGGTATATAGTGTAACTAGGGACATTGTGATCTGTTTTATTTCAGTAGAAAAGAATTCAATTTTGTGTGTGTGTGATTCATTATATGTTGATTAATTCTGTAGTAATGCACCTAATGAGATAAAGCAAATTATGGCAGGAAATAAATGTGCAATGTGTCAACAATATTTAACTTTAAAATGGGAAAACATTTCTTAGAATTTCTAATGCTATATGCTAAATTACCTGTCTGTAGTCAAGAATGAACGGTCCCAGGTAAGCTACAACTCCAGAAGACAGGAGTACATCACCAATGATGTTGTCATAAGTTGCATTAAACTGTTCTACATTCTGTAATTGAGTCAAGTGACATGTTAAAGAAATATATTGGGGAACAATATTATTACATTATCCTTCTTGTCCCAAAAAGCCATCTTTCTGGCTTTTATGGGTTTTGGTTGTCATGATGTCTTTGGCAATGCCCAGTATGCCTGTACAATAGCTTTGGTACTGGCTGCAAATGAACGTGCACATAAAATATGTAGACATGGTGGGTATTATTATTTTTATATCAGAAGAAATTTTTTACATATTTGCACTGAAGAAAATAGAGGAGGGAATTTAAAAATCTAATTGATATGGGCTTCCGGGCTGACTCAACTCAAAATAGATACCAAAAAATGTCTTAGGAAGAAAAGGTAATTGGTATGATAATGACTACACAACCATACAAACAAATGAGTGATGACTGGTCTATTGAAAACATATGGGGCTAGCCTCAATGGCATGCAAACAAGACCTCAACTTTATTTTACTTTTCGGGGGGGGGGGGGGGGGGGGGGGGGGGGAGGGGGGAGGGGTGTTGATTTAGCTTCAGATGACTCAAGATCTAATCCCTGTTTGTAACTAACTGACTAAAGCAGAAATAATGTATTTAATGTTCAGAATCCTACTTTCATGCATAATCACATCAAGTAAAAGATTAGCAAACAAGAGACCAGTTACCTTTGTCCATCTGTCTTTCTCTCCTCCAAGGCCACTGATCAGCTTATTAGCTCTGTCAATCTTGACTTTTGTCAACTCAATACAGTCCTCCAAGTTCTGTTATGAAAACATGAAAATTAGTGAAATATAATTATGCTGTTGTTGTTTGTTTTTTGTTTGGCAATAGACCATTAGAACATTGAACAAACTGTCTTTATTGCCTGTAGAGAGCTACTGTGGTGTAGAGTCTTGATGCCTACTTGCAGATCTGAAGGTCATGGGTTCAGGTCCTCACAGAGCCAGACTTTTTTTCAAAAATTACCTTGGCTCCCAGGTAAACCCATCCTTAACTTGGGTACCAGGTATAAAGTCCTGGGAAGTAAAGGTGGCTGGTGTGATGTTGACCACATCACCCACAAAAATATAGGTCTAGTCCTATATATCTAGTATGCCTTAAGGTGTGTACAAAGATCCTTTACTTTACTATAGCTTACTACCTGTATTCACAAATTTCAAAATGGTGTAAGACACTAGGGTCTTGAGCCTGAGGATGTAGGGTCACATGACTAGTACAGTCACCACGCACTGTGCAGGTTATAATTTGACCTATTCCCTGGAGAAAAAATATCCATCATCTTAACAAGGATTCATATCTAGATCTCCTGAATTTAATTACCAGCTTTCTATAATCACAATTTCCCCTCCATTCCCCCAAAAGTCGTGCTATTTCTTTATAAAGCATCTGAGAAAAACAGACACTGGTCTGAGTGTTTGTATTCTTAATTAACTGGTAAAGTGATAAATCTGTATGAATATTACCCGTATTTATTAATAATTTTAAACTGTTAAACTGTTTCTTCTGTTAAAACATGAACTCAAGAAACAAGATGTAATACTTTACCCTCCTCTTGTGGATTCTGAGACCCCATTGTGGGCAACAAGAGAATTAACCCACTGCCTGTTAACACGCATGTCATAAACATGACTATTTAATGTTGTGCTGATCAATTGTGTTACAACGCAACTAAACACCACAAAACAACAAGTCTACTGCACTTTATGAAGGCAAACGAACAAAAAGAAGAAATCTGCTCTACCTGTTTCTCTGTTTGTTTCTGTACGAGGTGGTCTGTCAGTGTCTGCAGTTTATCTGTCACCGATTTCAGCTCTGCTTGTTTTATTGCCAACTTCCCCATTTGTTCTCCTAGAATCTTCTCTGCTTCTTTTAGTTTTTCTTTCTTTGGAGCCACAACCTAAATATAAGTTGCAATTAAACACATTTTCTTAAATGTATTAACATACTCGGAAGGAAAAAAAAAAAAAAAAAAGAGTACTTGTATATCATACAGGTCAAAACTTGAGATCTAAAAAATTGTGAAAGCAATGGTAACAGAAAACATAATTAGATTTAACGAATTAAATAAGAAAAACAGACAAAGTTTCAAAAATGGAAACACACGTGGTTCGCATTAGTTTTAAACATCAAGAGGCTAATAAAAAGAAAATTAAACATTTTGCATGTTATATCATGGTTTCTGGGTCTTTGAATTGGGACTGTGAAGTGAATGTTAATGTAAATGATAAATATTCCCTGTCTCCCCTGTTTCATCTATGTATCTACAGACCACCCTTTAATGTAATGGTAACCGAGCTGCTTGGGAAAATAATGACCATGAGTAGTAATGGAGACTGAGTGAATACTGTATCAGATATTTCTTTGGCTGCATTCTGTCAAGAGGCAAGTGGGTATAATGTCAACAACATATTTTATTAACGGGCAGTGAAATAAATGATTTGGTCATGTAACAACATAAGACAGCATTACATTGAGCTACAGGGGAAACAGAAAAAGAAGCAGACATTACAAGCACTACCAGGAGAATAGCAGAGGAAATAAACATCAAAGCCTGCAGAAGGATCTAGTGCAGAAAATCTTTCCAAAAAAGCTGCTGAAAGCCACACACAAAAGACAGAATGAACCAAAGAACAAACTTTATTTTGAAAAAGTTAGGAAATGAGTATGCAAGCACGTCTGACATTCAGCCCATCTTACCACCTCTGTCAGACATTAGTTCATTCAAACATCTTTTAGCAGGCAATATTGAATATAACTGATAACAACTAAATATTTCAACAAAGAACTAGCAGAAGAACAAAGAAACTTTATGGATACTGAAAAGTTTAGGTTCACATACTGCTGCTTGTAAGCAAACTTTGCATAGGCAAAAACTGTTGCTTATAAAGACATCCGGGAGTCGCCGTGGTGTAGCAGCTAGAGGCTCACCGTGGACTCAAAGGTCCTGGGTTTGTTCCTTGGCGGGGCCAGACTTTTTTCAAAAATGACCTTGGCTCCCAGGTCAACCCAGCCTTGAGTGGGTACCAGGTGCAGTCCCAAGAAGTAGAGGCGGCCAGCGTGATGCTGACCACATCACCAATCTTGTGCCGATTGGTCTATAAAAAAATATAGGTCTAGCCCTATATGCCTAAAGGTGTGAAAGAGAGTCCTTTACTTTTACTTTACTTTATAAAGACATCTCTATTTTATTCCCCTGTGAAGCAAACAGATACTGAGGTAGGTTCATGGGAACATGATGCCATTTATCATATTGCATGGATAGGGAATCAATAAAGGAATTGATATAAAGGAGAAAAAAGATTACAGACAGGTTAAATGCTGAGCACTAACACCCAACCTTTGTGTGGGTTCTGAGGCCCATTGTGGAGGAAAACAAGAATAGGCCTACTGCATTAATGACAAGCATGTCGTAGGAGTTGACTAAATAGGGAATTCCTTCTAAGTTGAAGTGCATCTGCCAAGAGGCAAGGAAGGAACTAACAGTGTGCATACAATTAGACCAAATCTGTAAAAAGGATGCACACACACAAATCAGGTCCTTGAACAAAGCAAAAGTCTAGAAGTGGACTAAAAACTATGTCTTTCCCCAGGGGTTTACAGTGGGTCCATGCAAACAAACAACAAGTGCTGAGTATCTGAGAAGAAACATGTCAAATATGTGATGTGATGGCAGCAATGGTCCCCTAAAATGGCATGTTTCTTATATTATATAAGATATTTCTCCACATGTGATGGTCCTACTAGTCCTACTTGTCATTGTGTCATAGGCTGTGATTCTCATGCATCTTTAAAATGCAATGGAATGTTATCATCTGGAAAAGTGTCAGGGTGCCAAGAACATCCTCTAGTATAATGTGTGTGGTGTGTGTGTGTGTGCATGCATGCATGCATGTGTGTGTGTGTGTGTCCTTACCTTGACAACACTGTCATATACATCAATAGCCTTGACCCACTTGCACAACCCTTCGCAGGCTGATGAAACATTCTTGATAACAGCTGGATTAAAGTCTTTGTTTAGAATGTACTTCTCCCGAATCTTTCTGATGATGGCAGGAGGAATGTTGTCTTTATCATACTCTTTCAAAGAGTCCAGAAATTTCATGTCACTGAGCATCTGAAAAACAGTTCATAATAAATTAATTTACTGTCTTTCAAGTCGGCATCTGTCGCACAGGCGTTGCAAACACGCTTTGTAATGCCAGGGTGCCGGGTTCGATCCCTGCTGCGGACGGTTTGTCTTGCACTGGTTTCTACAGCGGTACCGAGAGCCGACCGTCCAGAAAGCAATGGAAAACTACTGGACGTAAATTTGCCTAGAAAAACCACAACAGCCAGAAAGTGCTGGGGTTGGTTCTGCAACACTGTCTTTCAAACAGTAAATGTAATCTCAAGCAGAGTTTAACATAAGAGTGTGACGTGTTAATATAATCCCACAGAATAAACTCTAATAACAGTGTTAAACATTACTATAATCCCATAGCACAGACTCCCATGAGTGTCTCAAGGTAGAGACTCTAATACAGATATGAAGTGTTATAATTCAAAAGCAGAAACTTCCAATGGGGTACAAAGTGTTAATACAATCCCTAGGAAGAGACTCTGATAGCAGTGTTCAACATTACTACAATCCCAAGGCAGAGACGGATAGCAGTGTTCAACATTACTACAATACCATGGCAGAGACTCTGATAGCAGTGTTCAACATTACTACAATCCCAAGGCAGAGACTGATAGCAGTGTTCAACATTACTACAACACCATGGCAGAGACTGATAGCAGTGTTCAACATTACTACAATCCCAAGACAGAGACTTATAGCAGTGTTCAACATTACTACAATCCCAAGACAGAGACTTATAGCAGTGTTCAACATTACTACAATCCCAAGGCAGAGACTGATAGCAGTGTTCAACATTACTACAATACCATGGCAGAGACTCTGATAGCAGTGTTCAACATTACTACAATCCCAAGGCAGAGACTGATAGCAGTGTTCAACATTACTACAATACCATGGCAGAGACTCTGATAGCAGTGTTCAACATTACTACAATCCCAAGACAGAGACTGATAGCAGTGTTCAACATTACTACAATACCATGGCAGAGACTCTGATAGCAGTGTTCAACATTACTACAATCCCAAGACAGAGACTTATAGCAGTGTTCAACATTACTACAATCCCAAGACAGAGACTTATAGCAGTGTTCAACATTACTACAATCCCAAGGCAGAGACTGATAGCAGTGTTCAACATTACTACAATACCATGGCAGAGACTCTGATAGCAGTGTTCAACATTACTACAATCCCAAGGCAGAGACTGATAGCAGTGTTCAACATTACTACAACACCATGGCAGAGACTCTGATAGCAGTGTTCAACATTACTACAATCCCAAGGCAGAGACTGACAGCAGTGTTCAACATTACTACTATACCATGGCAGAGACTCTGATAGCAGTGTTCAACATTACTACAATCCCAAGGCAGAGACTGATAGCAGTGTTCAACATTACTACAATACCATGGCAGAGACTCTGATAGCAGTGTTCAACATTACTACAATCCCAAGGCAGAGACTGACAGCAGTGTTCAACATTACTACAATCCCAGGCAGACACTCTGATTGATAGCAGAGTTCAACATTACTACAGTCCCAAAAGAGACTCTGATAGCAGTGTTCAACATTACTACAATCCTAAGACAGAGACTGATAGCAATGTTCAACATTATTACAATCCCAAGGCAGAGACTTTGATAGCAGTGTTCAACACTACTACAATCCCAAGGCAGAGACTCTGATAGCAGTGTTAAACATTACTACAATACCCTGGTAGAGACTCTGAGAGCAGTGTTCAACATTAATACAATCCTAAGACAGAGACTGGTAGCAATGTTCAACATTATTACAATCCCAAGACAGAGACTCTGATAGCAGTGTTCAACACTACTACAATCCCAAAGCAGAGACTCTGATACCAGTGTTAAACATTACTACAATACCATGGTAGAGACTCTGAGAGCAGTGTTCAACATTAATACAATCTCAAAGCAAAGAGTCTGATAGCACTGTTCAACATTACTACAATGCCAAGGCAGAGACTCCGATAGCAGTGTTCAACATTACTACAATCCCAACGCAGACACTGATAGCAGTGTTCAACATTACTACAATCCCAAGGCAGAGACTGATAGCAGTGTTCAACATTACTACAATCCCAAGACAGAGACTCTGAAAGCAGTGTTCAACATTACTACAATCCCAAGGCAGAGACTCTGATAGCAGTGTTTAACATTACTACAAAACCCTGGCATAGAGACTGATAGCATTGTTCAACATTACTACAACATTCCACATATCGGTTTAAAAAATGTTGAGATTTTGTTTACCATTTTGTTTTGTTTTTGCAAAATCATTTTGTTTTCTTTCAGCAGTATGGTATGTTTTGTTGTTTATCACCAATAGAGACTAGTCAAAACATTTACTTGTTCTCTGTGTATCATCCTTTTCTTGAAGCTTTCTAGTTGCTTTTTTTTCCCCCACATATATTTTTGTTTCATTAGCTTGAGAGCAGTCACTCTGTTTACAATCCCCCATAGACTTGATCATGGCTGGCCAGATTTTGCAACTATTTTTTATGGGATGAGTTTTCCAAACATCAAAAGCACTCACTCACAGTGATATAAACCATCAACAACATATCAGATTTGAAGGGAACAACAAATTTCTACCTTTTTGGATGCCTGCCAATAATCATCATACTGTTTTCCATTTGAGTCAACCTTCCTGTCTGGTTTTATTCCCTAACAAAAATGGAGGAAAGAATTAATGAAAACCAGCAAAAATTGAATAATTATTACCCCTGCACACATTTAGATATCCACCAATCAGTCTGTAAATCTGTATATCTCACAGAAAAAGTCTAGCATCTAATTCTTCTTCTTCTTCCTTTAAAAAAAAAAAGGCATGAGACTAAACTGGTTAGAAAAATTAGATGCAGTCAGTCCAGACTTTTTAGATGTAAGGAATAATACACACACAAGAAGTGATGACTGGTATACTTAATAGAAAAAGAGCACAAAGAGATACCTAGATAGTTGGCCACATGGGATGAGTGGAACAAGAACACATCAAACAATTTACTGATATTCTTAAAGATCCAAACATCAAGGAAAATTGGCTTGTAAACAGCATCTTGTCTCTGAATCTTAAATAGTTAGGAAATATCAATTATTGCCGTGAACTGGAAAGAATAGTAACGGAAGGCATTGTACTTGGCAAAAGGGGTTGGGGCTGGCCAGAACGAGGATGGCCACAGGACATAAGAAACACTTTGGGAAGGAAAGGTGAATGAAGCAGGAGAGAGACTGAGCTTTTTTCAGGCAGGCTATGATGGGAGCAATATTCTGCACAAAAAAAAAAAAATCTGCTGCATGATGATAATGGGGCCTAATGAAAAGAACCAATCATGCATTCTCATTGCTTGGACCTAAAAAAAAAGTTTAAATGGTGCTAAATTATTTGGATTGAGAAAAGTTATGAAACAAAGTAAAACATCAGTGTCTTACTTTCATAATGCAGATAGACTCCATCACAAGCTTGACACCAGGAGGAGGCTCATTCATAGACTTGACTATTGTGATGTCATTCTGTTTGAGGGTGTCCAGTGCACTTATGGCAGCACGCATGGCAGGCATAGCCACAGCTAGTTTCTCTTCACAATCAATCTTAGGAGTAAAAGAACACATTAAATATCACTTGCAAGCAATCTACAGCTGAACAGGCAATAACATTTTTGTTTAAAGTATAAGATAAACTAAATATCATAAATGGAGTCCCTGTGGCAGAGCGACTAGACGCTCGCCACAGATTGAAAGGACGTGGGTTCGCTCCCTGGCAGAGCCTCAATTTTTTTCAAAAATGACCTTGGTTTCCAGGTTGACCCAGCCTTGAGTGGGTTCGCGTGCAGTCCTAGGAAGTAGAGGTGGTCGGCATGATGCTGACCACATCACCCATCTTGTGCCGATTGGTCTATAAAAATATAGGTCTAGCCCTATATGCCCTATACTCCTAAAGGCGCGGAAAAGGGTCCTTTACTTTTTTTAACTTTGTTAAATAACATATAGAGCCACATCACTATCATCATGTTGCAGGTCATTCCTTTACAGAATGTTGCTCCCATCACAGCTCACTTGAAAGAATCTCAATCCCTCACCAGCTCTCCCTCTTCATACATTTTCATGCCCACTTTGGAAACCAAACACCTGGCATGTGCTGATCATTCTGACAATGCAAGAGCTTCTACACCTTCATTAGCTCTTTGAGGAAGTATTGCCACTTAAGTGGCTGCTGAATCCATCACATCTGGACATATAGCCATTCGAGTGGCTCTGTCCATAGGCACTCTAATATTGTTTCATTTTCTATGAAAACATTTGTATGAATATATTTTGAAATACTAGAATTAGAGAAAGGAAGTATTTTCTTTTCCAAGCATGGAGAGATGAAAGATTTAATGTGTTGATTTATTTCAGTGTGATATAATTTTTGTAAGATTTTCAAACCAAATGATAAGGGAAAAGGTCTAGAACTGTCATTACCGTTGCTGTCAATGGACCTGAGCCAGATAGTGAAATCATGTCTTGAAATTATGAAATTAGTCTTGAAATTATGATTAATAATCCAAGTGACAAACCTATTGCCGATAATATGGGTTGGGATGAAAGTAAAAAAAGTAAAGATCCCTTTCCATGCCTTTAGGCATATCGGGCATATGGAAAGAGCACCCATATTTTTACAGACCATCAGCACTGGGTGGGTAATGTGGTCAGCATTACGCCGGCTGTCTTTACTTTCCCAGGACAGCCCATCCTAGTACCCATTCTAGGCTGGGTCGACAGCTGAACAAAATATTTCAGTCAAATCCTCCCTGTTTCGATCAGCTGTGTCCAGAATTTGGTTAAGTTAAATTTGACACGTCACACAAAAATGGTCATAAAATCCAAAGTATTTAGACTAGTGGCTCAAATAAAAATAAGCTGATGCATAGTTGATCAGAGAAGGCATTTGGATTCTTAGAAGTCGACAGCAATATTGTTGATCAAGTATAAAAGTAAGGTAAGCACAACATTTCATGTGTAAAAAAATATTCATATATGCTTAACATCCTTGAAAGTGGTGTCATTTTAATATTTCTTTTATTATAATACTGATCTTTAAATAGTTTAGATGTATTCTGAATTCATTTCTTTTTAATTCAGTGTATTATATGGCAAAATTCAGCCAGGACTTTTTCAATCAGGAAGGTTTTAACTTTGTCATATTGCAGTAAAAAAGTCAGCTCAGAATTGATGCTGTCATAATCCCTGAAAAATTTTGTCATGAAAGAGTTAGCAGCAGAAGGAAGAACCTGCAAAAGAATTTTTTTTTACTGGGAGGAAGAGGGGGAAGCTGGAAGCATTTGCACTGCTGAAGTCCAAATCTTCTGATCCTGTGGTCGAAAAAAGCAAGACGACGTTGAGAGGTGGCATCCTGATAGAGCCCTATTAACAAACGTGTTAACATATTTAATAAAAACATTAATAAACATTTTAGAAAAATTAAAAATAGTCACTAACACCAAAAACATTTTAGAAGAAATAAAAAGAAATAAGGAAATTTAAAAAAAAAATTCAAATCTGACATACAAACCTTTATAGCTTCAGCTTCCTGGGCAGCCTTGTTAGCCATTGCCTCATCAACCTCCACAATTCTTTTGATATCTTCCACCTCAATTGTTTCCTGCTCTATAATAGTGATCAGTTCTTCTGTCTCCTGGCTGGTCTCAATTAGTTTAGGCTGTAGGTCAAGCAGTTCTGCCTGCATCACACTGATCTGTTACAAGATACACCAAATGGGTAGAACAGACACAAATATAGAGTACTTAACTCACAGGCTAAGGACACTCAAGAGAAACCCTTAGATAAATGCTTATGAGAGAAGCCAAAGGTGCTAGACTGGAAACATGATATTAAAAAAATTGTGCAGAATAAATTGGAGTGGAGCCCTATGTGACATACAGCGACACAACATCGTGATAATGATCTCAGTGTTTCTAAATGTTCAAAAACATAATTTCCCTTAATGTATAGTTCCATCTTTGTTTTGTGCTGGTGTGATCTGTTTCCTGATCAAGGTATGCCATTTTGATGTCCTCTTGTTTATTTTGTGGTGATTTAACTCTGGGAGCTTTTAGATCATTAACATTCCTTTATTCATTAATTTCAACCAATTCAACTTTATTTCAAAACTTTCTGGGTGGCAAGTAAGATTTATTGGAAGGATCATGAGTTGTTGGTCAAGGTCATGACCCAAGGACCTTTAATCCATGATGTTTGCTTAAATTCTTTACATTCATCTTTATTAATGGAAGTCTGAAACAGCTTCTGAATAACTGACATCTCATAATTCCCTTTTTGACTCCCAGGTCGACCCAGCCTTGAGTGGGTACTGGGTACAGTCCCGGGAAGTAAAGGTGACTGGTGTGATGCTGAAGTCATCAAACGTCTTGTGCTGATTGGTCTATAAAAATATAGGTCTAGCCCTATTTGCCCTATACGCCTAAAGGCCCAGTGGAAAAGGGTCTCTTACTGTTTTTTTTTTTTTTTTACATAATTCTCTAGCATGCCAGCTTGCTTCTGTTGTTCCAAGTATCATAATGACTAAGCAATTTCAATTTTGGGAATGATAATTAAAAAAAAGCTAATTGTGTATCAATTACAGGACATTGCAAAACCAGCCCCAGCATTTTTTGGCTGTTGTGGTTTTTCTAGACAAATTTACATTCAGTAGTTTGCCATTGCAAAGTGTAGACTATGGATATCACTGTCAAAAATCAATGCAAGATGGTCTGCTGCCAAACTGCCTGCAGCTGGGATCAAACCTAGCACTTTAGCATTGCATTCAAAATGTGAAACTACACAGACCGGCGATAATATAAGTATGTCATAAAGACCTGTGGCAAGATGCTTACCTGCTGCCCCAAATGTCCTGGGTTCAATCAGCACTATGATCTTATAACTGACCTTGACTCCCAGGTCGATCCAGCTTAAAATAGGTACCAGGAAATGCCCTGGCAGGTTAAAGTGATCAGCATGATGTTGACCACACTACTGGACTGTCAGCTGACTTATCAAAATATGATTCTAGTACAGTGGCACCTCTTTAATACAGTTTCTCATGTTGTGACGACTCCTAACCATAAAACTTTCATTGCTTCTTCATAACTTCAGTGAATATGTGTTTTCCTATGGTCTTTGGTGACCCCTGTGAAAGGGTCGTTTGACCAACAAAAGGGACGCAATCTATTCTTCCAAAGTGTATCCTGATATACGAAAGTGAATCATGGACGGTTAGACGATCAGTAAAAAATTAATTAGAAGTGGCAAAGATGTGCTTTTTATAGATGAATGATGAGAATATCCTAGACAGATTAAAAGAGTAATGAAGATGTTTTGAAAGATTTCTAACTCACAAAGAGAACTTTATTGCACACATCAGGAAAAAAGACAATCTACATTTTATGGTTATGTCATGAGAATGAGAAAACTTGTGTATAATCATGACAGTGAGAAAAACTGGATGGGAAAAATACAGAAGAAGATCAAGAGAGAAGATTCTGGACAGATAGACATGGTATGGAAGATCATCTGTGTCGAAACTGGCTGAAAGTACATTAAAAAAAAAGAAGAAGGTTCTGGATAAACTTAAATTTTCCAGTGCCACGTAACATGGACAATAAGAAGAAGAGGCATCATATTACCAGCGCACCATTTGCATGAGAAAGGTACTTATACTTTACTTTTGACATAAGTACCTGATTTTCAGAGAAGTGAAGTTTCTCCAGTCCAACACTGTATCTGTTCTTTAGGATAAGAATCTCTAATCGTTTCCTGCCCAGTAAGTTCTTGAATGTTTTTATCAGCTCCAGGTAGGATGTTGGTGTCACATAATTGACTCTCCTCATTACATCAAAGTATCTAACAGTGAATATTTTGGGGGAAAATATATCAAAATCACTGAACATCAAAACTGCATTAATGCTATCATATCAAAGTACAGAAACAGTGAGTGAGGTTAAAAGTATATCATCTTAGTATATATGTATTAAAAAAATAGAAACAATATTAAGTGCATGTGGGAAAATTGTTCATAATTTTATGTGTCATCAATTTGAGACTATAGGGTTTTCCATGGTGAACTAACTGGTCAAGCCATTCACCTCACACTCTGAAGGTAATGCGTTCATTTCAAGAATGCATCATTCAGTTCACAGGAAAATTTTTTATCGAGATCTCTGGGGAATGTCGCAGAAGCTACAGAGTTTATGCTGTGTATGATGCTCTTGGCAGGCAGCTAGCTATTATGTGGAGAGAGACTGAGCCATATGAGATAAACTAGGGCAATGAAGTTGATCCTCTCGACTTTAAATTTTTAACTGTTTAACCTTAAATTTTAGAAGTGAAAATATCTGAATATTTTATTTTTCAAGTGCTGACCCCCCAAAACAAAATGATGCACCAGGTCGATTTGCTGAACCACAACTAATTAGATACTTCAGTGGTATAGTTAGCTAGTTTACAGATCATTTTTAGTGCACGTCAAACCATAAAGTCCATAAGTTCGGATTCTCCTCCTCAGTTAATCCCACAGTCTGAGGAGGCTGACGGTGTTGGTTTATTTTTCTTCTTTGGCTTCCTACATAGTACTTTTGTCTGGCATGATTCCCTCTAACTTCCTGTTCTCGTAATCTGATCTTGGTTGCAGATTCACAGTCATCATTTGGTTCTCATAAAAGTCTTACTTCTCTTACAGTATTTAGCATATCGGTCTGCATGTCCACCTTCCACAGGTCTTATCTGCAATCCTAACAGCTTGTTCATTTCCCTCTACACATGCATACTCAGGCATGAAAATGAAGCTGATTTATGTCAGCCTTGACTACCTCAGAAATTCCAACCACTGTTTTCAGGGCCAGCTTATCTCTTTCTTCCTGGGCATTATCAGAGAGTCACTAAGAAAGCATGCAAGATGGAGGTTTTGTGTTTTCTTTTCCTGGAATGCAAATATTAAATAACCATAAGAATTCACAGATGATCTCTGCTCAGCATAGAGATTAAGTGATTAAATGTTTCTCCAGTACAGTGCTACATAGCATAACAAAACTAAGTTTATCCTTTATCATTTATTTTGTGCCCGTGCCGCCCCCCTTAACTACAGCACAATCTCCATATTTGTACCCTCCTCACATGTCTAATACTTTTGTCAAATAATGATTTATTCACACCCCCCCCCCCCCCCACACACACACACACACACGCACACATGCATGCACATGCACATATACACACAAATACATATACCCAAACCTAAACTTTCACACTCAACACATGAAACATGCTCAGAAGAGAAATATTATGACAAAGACTTCATGAGATCACCTAAGGGTTGAAGAAGTGTGGGATGAGGCTACTGACCTCTGAGACATGGCCCGAATGCTCATATGGAAGTGTTTGCAGATGCTGACAGTGCTGGTCCTAACATCTGCTGACATCTCTACATCATCCAGGAATTTGTTGGCCACCAGCTCTAAAGCATCTTCAGGCCAAGCCTAGACAAAATAATGTAGACGTCACCAGAAAGTAACAATTTACTACAGTCATTACTGCCTGTATTACAACCTGTATTTACTACTTTTTTTAAGGATAAAGTCAAGAGGATTGACTTCATTGCACCGAGTTTTTCCAATGTGGCTTGGTCTCTCTCCACAGAAGGCTAGCTGCCTGGTGAAAGCATTGCTCAATTGTAGTTTCAGTGATGATATGTTTTTAGTGTGGTGGGTAGGACAGGGGATATTCAGCCCGAAGATTTATGTCTCACTTAGTCTCCATGGGGTGGCTTCAGTGACTTAGGCATTGCAAGTCCGACTCGTAATTCCAACGTACTGTGATCAAAACCCCCTGCTGGCTGTGTGGACCCAGCCTTTAATGATGGCTGTCCTGGGGAAGTAAAGATGGCTGGCACCACATTACTCACCTAGTGCCGATTGGTCTGTAAAAAATATGGGTGCTCTTCCAATATGCCTGATGCGCCTAGAGGCGGATCTTTTCTTTACTTATTTGCCAAGGACTGTGCAGTTTAGAATTTATTTTGGCTCCCAACAGAAAAAATTCACCATCTTATCAAGGATTTAAAGCTGGGTCTCCCAAATGCCAGCCCGGTGTTATGATGGTTTTACAGTAAAGTCAAGGACACTTTTCACACCAGTGGTGCTTAGGAATGTAATGTCAGACATCTTTTTATGGACCAACTGGCACTCACTGGGTGATGTGGTCTCTATCATGCCAGCCACCATTACTTCCCAGGACTTTACCTTACCTGGCACTCATTTTAGGTAAGCCAAAATAATTTTGAAAAAGATCAGAATTGTTGTGGATTCAATCTAGTGAATTTTTTGCTGACAGATGAGAATCTAGCTACTACATACCATGGCTCTTTTAACGGTTCTGCCAGAAGATATTTTTAAAAAAAAAGTTAGTTATGTGTCATTTACAGGACTTTGCAAAACCAACCCCAGCATTTTTTGGCTGTTTGTGATTTCACTAGGCAATTTTCTTCAGTACTTTGCCACTGCAGCTGAAAGGTAAGCTCTCAATACCATGCTTGAAAGCAATGCAAGGCGGTCTGCAGCCAAATTGCCCACAGCTGTGATCAAACCTGGAACTTCAGATTTCTGGGCGTTCACAGCATACTCAGCAGGCAGAGCAATCAAAGAAGACAGGGGTGCTTTCTCCATGACAAAAAGCAGCTTGACAATGGAGGTGATAGTGGTAATGCAAGCATTCCTATTGCTAAGAACGCAAGACTATACCTGTGCATGTATACTTAGCCATTCCATGAGCATGATCCAGAAGACCCAGACAGGTTCTGTGCGAAGGCAGGGGTTTGAGCCATTACAGAAGTTTATTGTGCGTAACGTCATCTTCAACTTCGTTCCGGAGTATAGGGGTGTTACGGTGTGAAATTAGCACCAACTAACTCTAGCCCTAATTCTTCTATGATATTGGACTTTCCCTGGAAACTCTCAGATTCCCAAAGAGATGTTAACAAGTTAATAGTATGTCTCTTATAAACTGAAGTGTATTTTGGTTAGAAAAGAAGACATTATAAATATTACAAACATTTCTGAACCCCGAGGCTGTTTCTTCTTTTCCTAATGTTCCTTGGCTGTAAACTCTGGGGGAAACTCCTGACTGTGTCCTCTATTTCTGGATTTTGGCCTTGTTCCTGGACTTGAATGTTGTGTGTACATCTGTTTTATTGATCTAGCTTACTCGTGTGCAGACTGATGGTACCTTGCCTCTCTGCAAGACGCACTCTAACTCTGAAAGAAATATTGATCCTATCTACATTGGCTAGGTCTATGTTGGGAAACCTGTTTCTAGGATGACTACAGAGGCGTAGACAAGCTTGGTAAGCAGTGTGCCAGAGCAGAATAGTAAACCAACACACAGCCATAACACAGTGAGGATGCACTCAGGAAGGCCTCTGTCACTTAAATAATTTCAATAATGTATTTCTAAGACAAAACTGACTTTCACTGATGTATATCTAAGACAAAAACTGAATATCATTAATGTATTTCTAAGACAAAACTGACTTTCACTGATGTATTTCTAAGAGAAAACTGAATTTTATTATTATATTTCTAAGATTAAACTGTCACATGGATACTATGAAGATTACCAGGTTGTTATTACCTCAAACCAATCTATAGTGCAGCAGTTAATGAGTGAAGGGAACATACGAAGCCTGGTTCTGAATGCATCCCCTATAGGACTGAAAGCCAGCACAACATGCAGATGCTTTCTGACGCGCTCAATGAATTTGTTATACATGCTGAGGGGTGTAAACTCCAGCTGAAGATTCTCCTTCTGGCACAAGTTCTGCATCTGCAAGAGTTAAAAAAAAAACAGAAGGCTTTAAAATAAGGACAACTTGCAGTTTTTATTTTAAATGAAATTATGGATAGCTGTGAGAAAAGGGGTGTGTAGAATGTTGAATTAAGAATCAACATCACAGCACTCAGGAGACTCCCATAAGCACTATGTTTCCATCTTCAGCAGCAAGCGAAGAGTTCCAATTCCAATGACACTAGTAACTGTTTAATTGTACATCCATCTCACCTTTCCCTTGAGGGTTTGGCCAGATCCCCTGGTAACTCCTCACAGCGCCATTCTCCTAAGACCGTAATGAACTATTTGTGCCTCTGCACTGTTCACTCACTCCCAAAAAGCCCTCAGAACATCTAGCTTGTCATACATCAATTCACTACCAAGTAGTGCAGAACCAGCCACTCTAGCTGTCTGCTCTTCTCCCAACACATCGGCATCGCCTGGAGAAAATATCTAATGGACACTAACTACCCAGACCTCTGAAGCTATGCTTGCCACTCTGCACAGAGCATGCCAGTCTCCACCTTTATCAAAATGCTCTGTGAGTCAGTTACAATTAGGATATGCATGTTTAGCTGATTCTCAAGGGTTGTGTGCAATGAAGATTGCATGTAATTGGGATCTCTCTTCTTTTTATGCATTTGCCTTGAAGAAGATGATTTTTGGCATTGTGTTTTACAGCTAGGCTACAATACCTGCTCCTTTTGGAGCACCATATCCAATTTCTGAAAATCCCTAATTGTCTTTTAACATGATTATTAGGGAGCAGTGTGTCTATTCCCCCTCCCACGTCCCTCTTCCAAATATAGCTAAAAAAAATTTTTTTTTTTTAAACAGGATGAGGTTATCAACTCTATTACAGATGACTTACAATATGACTGGTAGGCTTATTGTTATGCTATGCTTCCCCTAAAAACTCTAGTAACAAGGAAAAAAAAGACAGAAGAAGAAAAGAGAGGAAGGGAATCAATATAACAAATGACTGCAGACAGAATTAAATGTTTGTACAATGAATTTGCTTAAAATTGAAACTGGCTCATATTGTTTAGAGTGGCTTGCTTCTCTTGATAGGACTTGGATCAGAAGCAAATCATGGATTTTTTTTTATCTAGAGCATTTGGTTGTACGAGGTAATGAGCAGGCTAATAAACTGGCTACTGCTACTCCTCTGGGTGGTGAACTACTTTAAATAAAGTGAATGTGGTGAAGACTCCCTAGGATCAAATGGACAGTGCAAATGAACAGAAAAACTAATTAAACAGCTTGGAAAAGAGGTGGGGAGTAGAGGTTTTGAAAAATATTCAACACTGAATGGGAAACATAAGCCGACTTTTAATCAGGTTGCAACTGGCACTATTAGCATGTCGACTCTTCACTGGCTACTAAGGAAGGGGACGGAGCTTGTGTGGGAATGTCCCGAGTGCAGTGATGTCAGTTCTTGATTCATTCATTTAGTTATAACACCTACCTTCTCAATTATCTCTAGCTTCTCTTCATTTTCATACAGATTGGGTATATCTCCAGTGTTCAAAATCATATTGACATCTTCAAGGAAGGACACATCCTGAAAATAGATAGGATTAATTTATGTATTCAGAAATTTACAACAGCACATATAAAAATAACAGATATGAACATTTATATTTGAGTTACAAAGACCACAAGTGCATACTCATTTATCAGTAGTAATTCATACAGTAAGTAGCTCTGCGCAAAATGTAATTTTGTTGTTCCTATCATTATATATAGTATTTATCACCGGACTACAAATATAGGATATTAATGTAGATTAATGTGAATTTGTCACATACAGCAAGTGCCTCTGTACTATATCTGTATGTTGATTACTGGCCTTTCAATTCATATAATACTGACCTCTGTGTTACCTGTACACAAATACATTAATATACTGTTATTCATTAAATACAGAATATACCTCTGTAATACATGCATACATTAATATGTTGCTGGTCATTTTTATAGTATGTACCTCTGTAATCCACATTTACATCAATATGTTACTGATTATCATATAGTATGTACCTCTGTAACACACATTTATATCAATATGTTACTGATTATCAAATATTATGTACCTCTGTAATACACAGTTACATCAATATGTTACTGATTATCATATAGTATGTACCTCTGTAATACACATTTACAACAATATGTTACTGATTATCATATAGTATGTACCTCTGTAACACACATTTACATCAATATGTTACTGATTATCAAATATTTTGTACCTCTGTAATACACATTTACAACAATATGTTACTGATTATCATATAGTATGTACCTCTGTAATACACATTTACATTAATATGTTACTGATTATCATATAGTATGTACCTCTGTAATACACATTTACATTAATATGTTACTGATTATCATATAGTATGTACCTCTGTAATACACATTTACAACAATATGTTACTGATTATCATATAGTATGTACCTCTGTAATACACATTTACATTAAAATGTTACTGATAATTTCATACAGTATGTACCTCTGTGACACACATTCACAATAATATTTTGCTAGTCATTAAATACAGTGCATACTTCTGTTATACTGTAAATACATTAAAATGTTGTTTGTTATTTATTATAGTCAGTAAAATAAAGGATACTTTTCTCTACCCTAGGCATATTGGGCATATAAGGCTGGACCTATATTTTATACACCAATCGTCACTCAGTGAGTATGTGATCAATACCACGCCAGCCACCTTTACTTCCCAGGATTTTACTTAGTACCCATTTCAGGCAAGGTCAACATGGCAGCCAAGGTCATTTTAAAAAAAATAGTCTGGCTCCATCAGGACCTGAATCCACCCCTTCAAATCCACAGGCGAGCATCTAGTGCTGCACCACGGCGACTCCCAATATAGAATTTGCCTCTGCAATATATACAGATATTAATATCTTGCTAATAATTTCATACAGTTTGTATCCGAGATATCAGACACATTTGCTGAAAGGTGAAAGGAATATCCTTATGTTAGTAGCTGTTAACTTCTAAAACATGATGAAACCTTCACCTTGATCTGATGGTCACCAAACAAGAAAACTGTTGACACACCAAGTTCACCGACCCTGCGCATCATCTTGCACAGATCACCTCTCCATTCTGTAGCTGAGTAGTTTTTGGTAATCTCAATCTGGAACAGCTCAAAATCAGACATGAAAGCAGCCAGTCTAGTAAGACTCTGACGCCCACTGCCTCCAATGCCTGCCAATCAGAAACAAATATTAACTCTTTCAGTTTCAGAACTTTTTTAACTGCAGATATCCAAGTGGAAAATGTATCACTAAGAAAACAGACAAATATAGTAAACAGAAATAAAATGTCTGAGATGAATCCAAAATTTAACATTGTGAAGCCACTAGCTTCCTACTCTGAAGGTTGTGGGTTTAATCTGTACTTTGTTTTTAGGTTTACAAGCACATATATTTTGGAGATCCTGGGGGAAGTGGTGGGGGGGGGGGGGAATTGCCAGAACTATGAAGTTTGTGTTTATGCAGATGAAACCATGAAGTATTTAAACAGAAAAAAAAAACCTGTCTTTACTGTCTGTATTCATCACTTGATGGTGTAGGTTAGTGAGATCATGAGCCAGACGGTTTTAGGCAACATGGCTATTGAAGTAGCCACAAAATGTGCAGGTTATAATTTTTATTTTGCCCTGACAGAAAAAAAAAAAAAACCCAATACCAAGGACAGAACCCAGGTCTTCTACATGAGAGCTGAGTCTTCTTACCCTTCAGCCATCTCCTTCCTAATATGATATAAAACCTTGATTTATCTTCTTCTTTCCATTCCAGGACTTTGGTCTTATTCCAAAACTTGAGTTTTGCATGCTTATTTGTTTTACAGATCTGGCTTATTTGTATGCAGACTGTTGGTTCCTTGTCTCTCAGGCAGATGTGACTTTGAAGGAAACACTCCTAATTAGTCACCTGTACAACATGCTTGTTAGATGGGTCTATTCATGGGTCTATTTGTTACTTTACTTTTTTACTTTTTCCTTCCACGTATGCCGCTAAGCGTTGTGGGGAGATGCAAGTTCCTGTCATAAGCAAGGCGGGCAGCATCTGATGTTCTGAGGCCATGCTTTTGGCAGGTTTCGGAGACCCCGTCAATACACAGTTTCCTTGGTCTTCCTCTTGCCTTATATCCTAAGCTTCTTTGGTTGAAAATTTGTGATGTTATTTGGTCATTTTTCATCCTGGTTAGATGTCCAAACCATTTCATTCTTTGATGTTCTATGTAGTCTAAACATGGTGTAGTTTTGACAGTGTTTCTAATGTCTATGTTCTTTATCCTGTCTAGTCTGGTCTTATTCGCTGCTTTTCTTAGACATTTCATTTCACAGGCTTCTATTTTTCTTTCATGGGTCTTGTTGATTGTCCATGTCTGGCACTGGTAGCAGAGTGTTGGAATGAAGATGGTGTTTATCAATTGTCTTTTGGTCTTCATGGTTATATCTGGATGTTTAAGCAGAGGTGATAGTTGGTATGTGACAGCATTTGCTTTCTGTATTCTTGTTTCTATCTCTCTGTCCATTCTTCCATCCTCTGTAAATATACTGCCCAAGTATTTGAACTCTTTGGTTTGCTTGATTTTGGCACTTCCAACATTTATATTCAGTGGCCTGTGTGTTCTGCTGATCTTCATAACTTCTGTTTTTTCTGTACTGATTCTCATATTATGTTGTAAACAGCTGTTGTTGAGAGTAGTCAGATGTTCCTGTAGATCATATTCATTTTGATACAGTATGCTTTGATCATCAGCAAAAAGTAATTCGTTTATAGCATACACGTCTGGGTTTGCTTCTACAGTGATCTTATCCATGTATGTTATGAAAAGTAATGGTGACAGTACACATCCTTGTCTGACACCAGTTGTGACTTTGAACCATTCAGAAAGACCACTAGATGTTCTTACTGCACTTTCACTTTTTTCATAGAGGGCTCTGATGTTGTCTAATAATTGACCCTGCACTCCGTAATCGTCAAGAATTCTCCACAGCACATCTCTGTCCACACGGTCGAATGCCTTTCTCTTGATCTACAAAGACCACGTTCAGCTCTTTATCGTATTCGAGTGTCTTTTCACAGACTTGTCTTAGTGCAAATATGGCATCAGTGCAACCTCGCCCTTTCCTGAAACCGAATTGTGCTTTACTCAGTAGAGGTTCAACCTTTGCTCTTATCCTACCTTCTAAGATCTTTGCATACATTTTCCCCACATGACTTAGTAAAGATATTCCTCTATAAGTTCCACATTCTCTCTTGTTTCCTTTTTTCTTCCAGATAGGTACTACAACTGATCTTTGCCAATCCACTGGTACCTTTCTCTCTGCCCATGCTCTATTGAAAATTCTCTCCAGCCAGGTGATCATAGTGTCCCCTCCAGCCTGGATGACTTCTGTTGTTATTCCGTCGATACCAGCTGCTTTGTGTCTTTTACTTGTTTTGATAACTTTCTCTACTTCATTCCGCAGGATATGTGGTTCTAGATGATCTGGAGCCCTTGAATGGAATTCTGCTGTTTCATGTACTCCCGACGGGTTTAAAAGTTCTTTAAAATATCCCTCCCATCTTTTTTTAATTTCTTTTTGGCTGAATAATGGTTTTCCCATTATTTTTTTACTTTAATAATGGTTTACTTTTTTATCAGACTGGATTGAAGCTTCTTCTCTTAATCACATCGCTTTCACACTCTTATAAAAGTCTCTTGATGATTCTGTACATAGCTGTGTTAGGTGTTCACCATACTTTTTCCATGAATCCTCTTTGGATTTCTTTATTGTTCTCTTGGTGTCTCTTCGAGTTAGTCTGTACCTAATGTAATCCTTTTCGTCTTTTGTTTTTAACCATATTTGAAACATCTTCTTTTTATTTGACACTGCTTCTTTGACTTCTTCATTCCACCAAGCGGTACCCTTTTTCTTGCCTTTGCCCGTCTTTCTGGTACCACACTTGTCTTTTAATATCTTCGTCTATTTGTTTACCTACCCAAAATAGGGCCATGGAACCCACATGAGAAACCTTGCATAAGGAAGTTGATCCTCTAATCTTAAAACCACTTTTAATACCTTGTCGCTTGGAACATCTGAACATTTTCAGTATCACATTCAGTTGAGGAGCTGTGGTAACATACGGGCAAGTCACCTGCCAGTATTAAGGTTTTGTGTTTGAATCCACACTGGGTGGATTTGGAAAAAGAAAATCTGGCTTTCTGATTAATCCAGCCTAAAAATGGATACCAGGAAATGTGTTAGAAAGTGAGGCCGGAGAATGTGATGTTGAGCCGCCAACTAATGACTGCTGGTTGGTCTATACAAATACAAGTCGACCATCACATGCCTTATGCACCACATGAAAAGAGTCCTTCACTTTACTTTACTTACAGACTAGATCTTGACTGGGTTTACAAATGTAAATCAAATACAGAATCCATTTTTTTTTTCAAACACCCACTGACAACCAAGCAGTAAGTACTAAGTAGAGAAAATAAACAGCTCACTCTATGGTAATAACAGTAACAAAACCATGTACGAGCTTGAATAAACACACTCTATGACAGAGCTTGACTGAACACACTCAATGACATGAAAAGTCAAACAGCTAATTAAATAAAGAATACAAACCAACAAGCAGACAGTGGCCATTAGGTTGTTTGAGAACTCGACAAATTCGAGAAATGTGTTCAACTGCAAAGCGGAACATGACAAGGTCCATCTGTGTTTTACTTATAAGGTTGTAGTCTTCAAGATAATGCTCTACAACCTAAAAAAAAAAAAAAAAAAATTACTACAACAAAAAATTTTCAATAACAGTATATGAAGAATATTAATAGAACAGTTAGTAAGAGATAAAGAAATTAAGGAACAGTTCTCAGTTACGGTCTCGAATAAGTATCAGGTGTTGCAGCAGTTAGCTGAAGATGTCAACACAGAAGTCTGCTGGGATCAGGAATCTGGAATGAATCTTGCGTAGAAGTTCTTGGCAAGAAAGAAAGGAAACATAAAGCATGGATAACACCAGAAACCATTAAACTGATTGAAGATAGGAAAAGTAAAAAGGCAGAATTAAACAATAGCAAAACTAGAGCTGCTAAAGCTAGAGCTCAGGAGAATTACACAGAAGCCAACAAGGAAGGAGGCATATAAGGGCAGATAAAGTGAAATATCTAAATGATCTAGCACAAGAAGGGAGACAGCAGCAGCAAAAGAAAACCTCAGAGACCTTTACAGTAACACAAGAAAATTAGTAGGTAAATATAGTCAGCCAATTGGATCAATCAAAAATAGTCTAGGAAAGGTACTTACTAAAACTAAAGATCAAATGGACAGATGGGTTGAATGTTTTGAAATGCTTCTAAATAAACCAGGCCCAGAGGTTCCCCCAGATATCCAGCCTTTAGAAATGGAACTGGATATCAACTGTGAGATACCATCCAAAGAGAAAATTAGAAAAGCTATAAATCTTCTTTAGGAAGGAAAGGCGTCAGGCCCAGATGGTATCCCAGCTGAAGCCATCAGGACCAACATAAACACATCAACAGAATTGCTACATAGATTATTCAGTAAAGTCTGGGAGACCGAAGAAATACCAGCCGACTGGAGAGAAGGATATCTTGTGAAACTGCCCAAAAAAGGTGATCTACAGGAGTGTGAAAACTATAGAGGAATTATGTTGCTGTCAGTTCCTGGAAAAATATTAAGTAGAATTATTTTGGAAAGATTAAAAGATGCTATTGATAAAATGCTAAGAGATGAGCAGGCACGTTTTTCGGTCAAACAGATCCTGTACTGATCAGATAGCCACATTACGTACTATAATAGAGCAAAGCATTGAACTGAACGCACCACTTTACATTGGATTTATAGACTATGAAAAAGCATTTGACAGCATTGATAGGGAATCTCTCTGGAAATTGATGGGGCACTATGGAATCCCACAGAAAATTATCAACTTAGTAAAGGCAACATATAAAGACAAATGTTGAGTTCTTTATGTGGGAAAGCTAACAGATGCATTTGAAATAAAAACAGGTGTGCGACAGGGATGTCTTTTGTCGCCTCTCTTATTTTTACTGGCTATAGACTGGACTATGAAAACAGTAACTGCTAACACCAAGAATGGAATTCAGTGGACCCCTACAAAACAGCTTGATGATCTGGACTTCGCTAATGATATTGCTCTTCTGTCCCATTCGCGGAATCAGATACAAGATAAATTAAATATACTTAATGCGAGATCACAGCAGCTTGGTCTGAAAATCCATAAAGGAAAGACAAAGATAATGAGAATAAATCAGGCAAATAGTAATGTGGTTTCTCTTAAAGGCACCCCACTCCAAGACATGGAGTCGTACACCTATTTAGGCAGTAATGTAGATAAAGATGGAGGAACTGATAGAGATATTAAAATAAGAATACAAAAGGCAAGAGGGGCTTTCATAGCACTAGGGAATTTGTGGAGGTCAAAAGAAATTAAAAGAAATACTAAACTAAAAATTTTTAATTCTAATGTCAAATCAGTACTATTGTATGGGGCGGAAACATGGAGAACAACCAAGGCAATTACTAATAAATTACAGACATTCATTAACTGGTGCCTGCGCAGAATAGAGGGAATACAATGGTATGATAGAATAACTAATGTAGAACTTTGGGAGAGAAATAAACAGGCTCCAGTGGATCAGGAGGTGAGGAAAAGACGCTGGCGTTGGATAGGGCACACACTGAGAAAACAGGAGAACAGCATAACTAGAATGTCTTTGCATTGGAACCCACAAGGGCATAGGAATAAAGGAAGGCCAAAAAACACATGGAGAAGAGAGCTGGAGAATGAGGTTAGAAAGATGGGGAGGACATGGGGAGAGCTCCAGGCAATGGCGAAGGATAGAACGACTTGGTGTGAGTTGGTTGAGGGCCTATGCTCCATTGGGGGATAGAAAGGCAGAAGAAGAGAAGATATGAAGAATATTAATAGAACAGTTAGTAAGAAAATAAACATGTTATCTTATCTTCTTTCTAAATAGTAAAAGTTAGTAAGAAAATAAACATGTTATCTTATCTTCTTTCTAAATAGTAAAAGTTAGTAAGAAAATAAACATGTTATCTTATCTTCTTTCTAAATAGTAAAAGTTAGTAAGAAAATAAACATGTTATCTTATCTTCTTTCTAAATAGTAAAAGTTAGTAAGAAATAAACATGTTATCTTATCTTCTTTCTAAATAGTAAAAGTTAGTAAGAAAATAAACATGTTATCTTATCTTCTTTCTAAATAGTAAAAGTTAGTACAATATCCAGGTGTAAGAGGACAGGAAGACAAATGAAGACATAGAAGTTATCTTATCTTCTTTCTAAATAGTCAAAGTTAGTCACTGGCAAAAAAGTCTCCCACATTTTATCTTATCTTCGCTACTAAATAGTCAAAACAAAAAGAATTGTTCTAATTTGAATCAGATCTAGTTCGCCTATTCAGGACATTATAAGCACTCTGTCCCTATCTGCAGAGGCTGAAACAATATCCGTTGATACTGAATAACAGTCTGATTATACATTATTAGTCAAATCTTTGGCATTGAATGTTTTTTTTTCAACAGCAAATGCACCTGCATTCTTCACCAATTTACTGATCTGTTTGTGCCAAAAGAGTGTGAGTGCACTTGCTCCCTAAGTGATTACCTTCGATAGCTACAATAGCTCCAGGTTCATTCAGAGGACAGGAAGACAAATGAAGACATAGAAGGAATCAATGCTACCTTTCAGGAAAAATGAAGCACCTTGCCACTACTAGGATCAAATCATCACCCGATGTTTCAACATGCTCCATGAGTCAGTTACAGTTACGACATGTGTACAGCTGGTTTTGAAAATGGTGGAAGGCTTCAGTGACTGTCTCCACGTCCATTCTCAAACTAGATGCTGTGGTATCAGATGCCAAAGCGACGTCCATTTGTTTTTTGCTATGAACCCCAATGCACCTTGTCAGCCTCTCAACACAAACTCATCTGAATAGATAATCATATCATCTGGGCAGGAATTGTCATGAATAATTTATTGAACTTCTGATTCTGCAGGCCAGTCACTGCCCTAATTTAACTATAAACCTACACTCGTCTGATTGTTGCTACCATTAACAGTCTGATTACATGTCTAATTCTTTAACTTGTGCCATCTTTCCTATTGAATGTCTGTGCATCAGCAGCACGGTGATTCTGTCACAGGCCATGATGGGATCTTAAGTCCTCCATAGTGTGTATAAGGAGATACTCCGTACGTCACTCGGGCGCCAGTCCTTTACTATCCTGGTTGTACGCTTCACGCAAGACCCCTACCACGTCCGATCGTGCGCCACAGATAATGTCTCAAATGAGCATTAACAGAGCTGTCTACTACTCGGAGTTTTGGCGGCCCCCAGAGGTGATGTGTCCTTGTGGCTCTCATCAGCCCGCCCCCAAACGCTTGGGTGAAAAATGTTATCAAAACTCATTAGGAACATGAGTAGGTTAAACAAAAGTACAGCTAAAATTACAACCCTTGGTTAAAAGACTGCTAAGTAAAGAGAACATTGCTCAATGCTCATCCTCGGTTAATTCTCAGTGTCGTCGTCACCGCGCTGAGGTGCACCACAACCTGATACGGTTGTGAGGTTAAGCAGGCATGTGCAGGACGTTTTTTTTTTTTTGGGTGACCCAGAACCAGAGCGCCATTTGTTTTTTCTGCATGCATGGAACCCCAATGCCCCTGATCTGTCCCTGCCTCTCCAACTGTTCCACAGGGGGCTGAATAGGGGTACTCCGGGGGCAATACTGCGGCGAAGGAGACAAGGCGGATGACACAAATCAGTTGAAAAGTCTGACCCACACAAAACAAGGCCACAGTCACCCTAGAAATAATGATGTCTATAAAGTCCTACACTCCCAAGTCTGAATGTTGCTAAGTATGTATGAAAAATCAGGTCCACAAAGTCAAAAGTCCAATTGTGTCGATTAACTTGTGCCATTCCAAGGAATTCCTCCCGTTTATGAAAAAAAAAAAAAAGTCTGTGACCCTTAGCTACAGTATTCTTCATTCTATGTCTCTTGCTGTAGTAATCTTGAGTGGAGTGAGTCCTAAAGCAGAAGAATAAGAAAGAGCCAGGGACGTGTTCATCTCTAAGATTTATTTAATAGATAAGAAATGGTAACCAAAGAACAGACAAATCAAACCTCCTTAAGCTCATTGAGCTCCTGAATTTCATTATAAAGTCGCTGGTTATCCTTAGATTTTGATTTGTTGGCAAAATCCCCAAAGATAAGGGTGCGAATATCCTCATCACCAATCAGCTTTTCAGGGTCTGCAATGTGACTGAAGAGGTTGTTAAGCTTTTCCTTAAAGTGCATTTCAATTCCAAGCTGAAGAAAACAAAGTTTTAATATTTACACTGAACTTACAGTTAATCATTTGTCTAAACAGTATATCAATAATTTCATCAGAGCTGGTAATAATACTGACATGAAATTGTACAAGATTCACTCAGTTCTTTATAGTCACAGAGCCGGCATCACAAAATTTGGATTGCCTCTAAACATACAGTCTGCCAATAAATGCAGTTAATTTCAAAGTCACTAAATAATTTAGCATTTAATTTTTCAACTCCTTCAGCACAGATAACTGTTCAATAAGCTGTCATTGACCCCCTCAATCCATTTTGCCTAGGTCTCCCACTACCTCTTAGCGCTTCCATATTCATACTTTATGCACTTGCCGTTGGCATTATTAGGTAAATTCTCT